ATGAGCCGTGAAAGTTAAGGCATTGATTTTTTTTCAAATGTAGATCTGCCTGATTTCTATTGACGGCAGCCCATATACACTGTATTTGTCGTATATGTTGTATTCGTCGTATATGTTGTATCCATTGTATATGCCGTATCGGATCTTTAATGGATATTAGTGTGATGAAGGGAATCAGTAGTATAGTTAGTATAAGTGATATAATCTTTATGATTCGTATAAACAGTAAGACACGGATAAGATGTATAATGTGTCATAAGTAAAAGAAAGTATATAATAAAGGCTTCTCGCCCTTGATGGAAGACATTATTCCCGGTTCATGATTGATAATTAATTACTTCGTAACCTCCCCCACATTCGTTAATGATCAACTACTAAGTGGCATAGTAGTGCGATCATCGTTCTGTATTTTTACCCCTCCCCCGAAGTATCGATGACCAAAGCCTCAACTTACCCACTCGCCAAATATAACACGCCTCTCTCGATAGGTTGTCTGGTGCGCTGGATTAGGTGGTCCCGGAAGACCAACTCTCTGTTGTCAGTAGTAATATAATATTAGTTATTTATATGTGGTAATCATGTAATAATTTACTACATGTAGTAATATATAGTAATGTAATATTATTTACTACATGTAGTAATACAGTATAATAAAAAATACGATGTTTTGAATGGCACTGTTCGAATGCCATTTGAAATGACATTCAATGCAACGTAGGTAGCTATCGCACAAAAACAAACGCGGTTTGTTTTCTAAATACAGAAGTAAAAAGTTGTATAAAATTAAAGCCGCGTTATAGTTAGGGTTAGGGTGAGAACAGCAAAGGGTTTGGGTTGTTTTATTAGTAAAATTTCATGAGGAACATAATTAATTAGGCTGTAGAAGGTGGTTTTATAATTAAAATCTAAAGCTATTTTTGTTTTTTTGTAAAAAAGTGGGTTCGCTTCGATTTTTACGTTACACCTGATCCTAAAATTCGATTGGCCAATATTACAGGGTGGAAATTTTTTTGTGGGATAACTAGGGGCTTTTTACTCACCCTTTCGGGAGCACTATATCTAAACTAGAGATATGAATTGTTTGCCGATCCTAGTAGCTTTCGGCCCAAATTAACCGTAATGCGGGCCAAAAACTGTCAAAAACTGTTAGGATCGGCAAATGGTTCTCTAATCTAAACAATTATTTTAATTAAAAACCAGGCTCTTGAGTTGCTTAAAGGGAGTTAGAGATGAGTGTACTATATCTGATATTGTAGTATGCAGTGCAAGAACTTCATATTGTGATTAGGCTCCATTGCTGTAATAGCAGTGCAAGGATCTCATATGTATAGTTTAGTGATTTAAACTGAGAAAAATTTCTTTAATTAGTTAACCAAACCAATTTATTTTATTCAACTAGCTGTCAATCGGTCGAGATTAACTATCTCTACTTTTTGTTTTGTCTTCAGAAATTTTTGTAGCTTTTGCTTAAATTTTCATGTTTATTTTCTTTTTGGAACTTCTCAAAACTTATTAAAATCATTATTTTCTCTTTAGCTCTTTATAATTATCTTTGTTCCTGCTAACTGATTAAGAATTTTCTCAACCAGTTAACCAAAATTGGGTTGGGACTTTGAAAGTGTCTAGGGTATTACCCACTATTTGAGATTAGTTAAAGCTGTGAAACTTGTTCCAAACTTACTGTATAAATTGGGATTTGGGTAGTGATAGGCACCACATGTGATCTTGCGCATGATGCACTAAATTCAAAAAAAATCTTGTGTAAGATATCTTGTATAATTCAGGCAGTGTCATAAATCTAGCTAGGTTTCAAAATATTCAAAGATCAAGGTAAAATTTTGACCTATTTCCGCAAAATTCTAAAACATAAAAAATAAAATCACATGCAGAAGTTTTAGAAAAACCTCCAATTGCTTATTACTAGATTTGGGACAAAATTTCTAATATATTCAATTTGGACTAATAGTTATAATTATTTAGACAGCAACTATACTCATATGATTAGACTCTATAGCTATTGCAGGCAATACAAAAACCTCATGTTGGTGATTAAGCTTCTTTATAAAAAAAAAGTTCAAATTTTATTATAGAAAATATTTATTATTTAAAATAATAATCTGAACATAATCTGAATAAAATTTTAACTTTTTTTTATAAGATCCACAACTATAATAGCAGTACAAAGGTCTCACATTGTGATTAGGCTTTATGGCAGCAGTAACAATACAAGGACCTCATAGTGTGATTAGGCTTTATAGTTGCTAAGATGCTAGAGATCTTATAGGTAGAAATAACAAAACTTTTTCCTGAACTAAGAATTTTAAAATTTGTTAATATTATAGCCAATTAATGACTAGTGGCTAATAACTAGTTATAATATTAACCAAATTTGAAATTTTGAGTTCTAAAGAAGATATTGGTCTTTCTACTTATAAGATAAGATAAACAGAATTTAATTCTGAAGAAGTTTAATTAAAAGCTTAAAAGAAAAAATTATATAAGTATTTAGAAAATTGGCTATAAATAAAGTAGAACTTTTCCTGATGATCACTCAACACAAAAGCAGCAGAGAAATAAAAGTCAATACTACACCAAAACACAGTAATAAAAACTATATTGAACGCTATCTTATATAAAGAGAGCTTGTAAAAAGTAGTTTAGCTAGCAACAAGGGTAATAACAGTAAACCCAAAAAGCAGAAAAGTGCAATCGGCAGTAGAAAGTTGGCTATTTGGTGTCAAAACTCGGCAAAACATTATTCGGTCTATTACAAGCAACAACATATAATTGCAGAGAGTTAGATAGTTCAGCAAAACACTTTAATATAGCAACAACAAAGTGTAAAATACAACACACACTACTACTTTGACATGAAGAAAAACTTTTTACTTTATGCTAATAGCTTTGGGAAAACAGTATTAACCCTGTAGTGCAGATCCTTGAAGTAGCACAAGTACAATACACAAAGTCATACTGTAGCACACAAGCAAAAATATCAATTTTACACATAATAACACATGAAAAACACGTAAAAACATGTACAATTTGCACCAAAGCCAAACATTAAATTTTAAGTACTAAAATGTAACAAACAACCAATTACGACATATATTACATGATTTACAAGCAAAGAAGATACTGGAACTTGAGAAATACAAAAATTTCTTTAAAAAATCTAAAGAGGAAAAACTAGCACTGTATAAAGAGCAACACGCAACATTATTAAATTAAAAAAAAAAAACAAGTTGTAGAATACTTAAGTGCTGAAGATCCCTATCTAGTTGCAATTATTCACAATATACTATATATACATAACTAGGCCCAGCATAAGGAGATAAGAAAACAGGAAGTATCCAGTGAAGAAAAATGCCTTCTTGGATACAACACTGCTGAAGATAACTCTCAAAAGAGGGATACCAATAGAGACTTTATAGCATCTCTAATGGAAGTCAGCTATACAAACCCAACCACAATAGAGACTAGTGCCAAAAATAGCACATCGGAGGAAAACTACAACAGTATATACAAAAAAAGCATTGCAGAATATGAGAATAGCAACAATATAGCAGAAAACAGCCACAAAATTAAAATAAAAGCTCTTGTGCAAAGCGAATGCAGTACTACAGATTATGGCCTTGAAGAGCAAATTGCAAAAGGGGCATATAACAACAAAGACTCCAAAGATAAAAAGCATAACAAAGGCCTAAAAGACATAAAGACATTTACAGCTCAGCCTGGGCACCGAAAGGGAAACTCATATCCAAGAAGAACTCTATCAAGTCTAATTACTTTTTTACACTCTGGGACCTCTCAAAATATATAAACAGAAATACGATCAAGAGATATCTAGAATTCTTTGGCTCAGTAACAATATTAACCTGGCAGCACGGCTTTTATACAAAAGCAGCTTATATTAAAATGGTGTCAAATATAGAAAGCCGTGAAAATGCATTAAGAGAGAGCTGGTCAGTTCAGTTGGACCAGAGAAAGATGTACAGAATAACACCTGGCAAATTCAATTATACAGAACTGGTAGAAAGAAACAGGTTCAGAAGTACAATTTTCAATGTCCTGAGAAAAGTATATAACAGTTTACTACTGCAACAGTTGAAAAAATACAAAGTACAGGCAGTCCACACTCTAGATAACTGGCATGGCAACAATAACAGAAGGGCACACATCTACTTTAAATCAAAAGAAGATATAGTTCAGGTTCAAGTAGCAAGCCTATATTACTTTGATATTAGGCAAGTGGCAAATATCCACAGAGGAGGGTGAGAATAAAAGCCATATAGGTAGTCAGTTATACAAAGAAAACTCAGTTGAGAAAATTACTAGCCGCAAAGAGGGAAAGCAAAAAGAAGAGTTGAAAGGTGCTTGTAACTCGGAAACCAAAAGAAAAAGAAAAGATCTCAACTCAGAAGATAGAAAACTTAAGTGGAATAGAGTGCTTAAAGAGAAAAGTAGCAACAACAGATTGAATCTAGCAGAATATGAAAACCGGCCGGAGAAGAATGTTTATGACAAAGAGAACCAAGCAGTCAAAGACCAGAATAGAATAAAACGTATAAAAAATAGAGACCAGGCAGATGGCAACTCAATTTACAACATGTTGTCGCAAATTTTGAACAGACTTGACAAACTTGAGAATCAGAAACTGCTTTCCGGTACCCCTTCTGCTAGGAACTCACTAGCAGACTGTTCTTAAATAGGCACTAAGGGCAAACCAATAACTAACTCTGGGGTATACAAGGGTAAAGAAAGGGAGCTAGCAGAGAATATTCAGAAAAAAAAAAGCTTCTAAAAGAATTAAATGAGCAGGAAAGCATATACAAGTATTTCAAAACTTTAAACATTGGGTTTCATAATATTAATGGTATTAAGAACAATAAAAACAAATTAAGAGCGGTTATAGACTATGCAGAAGAGAAAAGAATAAACATTTTGGGTTTAGGAGAAACTAATATTAGTAACATAGAAGGCATCTTTGCAACTACAGTAAGATATATAAAAGTTTTTGGGCAAGTGTAGAGGAAAATAAGAAAAAAGAGTCAGGCCTTGGGGTGCTGATCAAGAAACATTGGGAACAACACATCACACAGCTTGATCAAGATAGCCCGTACTTTCTAAAGCTGTCTCTCAACTTTAAAAGCCTTTCTATAGTAATAGTGTTTGCATATGTTGCTCCAAGTAACAAAACAATACAAAAAGAGGTTCTAAACAGGTTAAGAAAAACTTTGGAGAAACCAAGCCAAAAACCTCAGCGGTTTGTAATTTTAGGAGATTTGAATGTTTGCACAGGCAGTTTAGAAGAAAATACCTCCTCCAGTGATACAAACTCCAAAAGTAAATCAAAACAGAAAATTCTGGCCTTACTAGAAGAAAAGAATCTATATAATATACAAGAAGCTTCACAAATACCTACATGGCTGAACAGTATTAGCGAATCAAGAATCAACTATATTTGGGTCTCTAGTATTAGGAAACAAAATATAATCAGCTCTAAAGTAGACGATATGGACCTATGTACAATGAATAACTACAAGCTTATATGAACAAACATTGTTACAGAGTTAGAGCTAAGAAAAACTATCTCAGAAAAGTTAAGACAGAAAAACTATAAAAGAGTAAATTTAGATCTAGACAAGGTATCAAAAGAAGACTGGAGTTTATACAAAGAAGAACTGGGAAAAAAACTCAAAGAGCATTGGTGCAAACACAAACCAAAAAGCATAGACGATGAGTAAGAAATTATAGAAGAGTGTATTCAATTAGCAGCTAACGAAAATCTTCCAAGAAAAAGCAAAACGCCCGAGATATAGCAAATTATTAGAGAAAGTAGAGAGCTAAAGGCAATTAGATTAGCAGTCAAAGCATGTAACAAAGGGTACCACAAATTAAAAAAAGAGGCGCTACATGAGAAAGATAAGGTGGATATTATTAATAAGCTTACATAGATCAAAGAAGACTATGGCATGGTCTTAGAGTCAGAAATAAAGATACGAGATAGTGAGAACTTAAAAAACTGAGCAAAAATTCTGTACAAAGAGTGGTGACAAAAAATTAAAAAAGCAGAAGAAGCTGAAATAAGAAGAAGCATAGAAAATAGACACAACTTCATAGTATCTAACCAGTGAAAAATACTAAACAACCTTTTAAGCTACTCTCACTGACAAATCAAAATAGACAGAATAGTCAGATAGAGAGTGAAGTGAAACTAGTATACAAGCCAGAAGAGTTACTCAAAGAGACTTGCGAACATTTTGAGAAGCAGTTCCATAAAAGAAATACAACACAGGTAGAGTAAATATCAGCTAGGTGGAGAAATCAATATGCCCCAAGAGAAAATATTGAGGAGACCTGGTACAAAGATACTATGAGCACAATCAGCCTAACCGAATGGGAACAGGCTCTAAAACAGGTCAAGGCCAAGTTAGCTTCGGGTACAACAGGCATCACATATCCACTAATTAGAAATGTAAGCTCAGATACAAAACAGATTTTTAAAAGCTTTGCCTCTAGGTGTATTAAAGAAGGCAAAATGCCAAAAAAGTGGAAGCTAGGCATGTTGTATCCAATACCTAAAACAAAGACTGATGTTTCAACCCAAACAATGTACAGCCAATATTACTCTTGGAATCTTTCAGAAAAATGGTCATAAGGGTGGTAACGAATAAACTAGCAAAGATTATAAAAGAAAAAAAAGTGCTTAAAGGAAGAAACTTCGCAGGCCTTTCTGAAAAAGATACAGCAGCACTAGTACATCTAATTAACTGTCTCGTAGAAGAAGCAAAAGAGAAAAAGAAGGAGCTTTGGCTTATGTTCCAAGATATGAAAAAAGTATTTGACTCTGTAGAGCTAAAGATGCTAAAGCTGGCGCTGCAAATAATTAAAATACCAGACACACTAACACAATTTATTATCAATCTGTATAAAAATCATGAAATGGAGGTACTAACAAGTATGGGTACAACAGAGAGATTCATAGCAGGGGATGGTATAGACCAAGAGGATGTAATTTCGTCTCTAGTCTGGAGGATCTTTTATAACCTCCTGCTAGTAGAAATACAAAGTTGTAGTAAATGAGGATACAATTTAGAAGATTATTGGCCCAAAGATCTTAGTAGAAATAGCACTTGCCTCCAATAGCTAAATATTCCAGTCATAGCTTATGCAGATGACACCACATTCGTCACATCAAGCAAAGAAAAGTTGGAGGAGATTATCAGTATCGTACAAGAATTTTACAAGATAAATAATATAGAAATCAATAGTAAAAAATTAGAACTATTAATAATAGGTGGCAAAAAAACAAACGAGCCAAGGTGCATAGAAATAGGGCCTATGGGGAAAAAATAGTCAAAAAGAAAGCAAATGAAGCAACAAGATTCCTGGGCATATAGTTGTCTAGAAAGAACAATTACTCACACATAATAGATATTGTAAAAAGAGAAATCCAAACAATTATCAAGGCAATATATAAAAAGAATGCAACACTCGCACAGCTTATCTATATCAACAACAGGGTACTGATTCCAAGGTTGGAGTACCGAATGCAGCATTGTATAATATCAAGAAATTAATGCGACAGACTGCAGAGCCCCCTGCTAAAACTCATTAAAAATAAATCAGATCTAGCAAGCACAACAGCAAATGTATTCTAGCCCACAGAAACATAGCAGGTTTTAGAACAATTTGGCAAAACCAGATAGCGCATCACGTGACAGAGCTAAGAAAAAGAATCAATAGTAATAGTGAGATTGGCAGAGTAACCTGGATTAGAATCCAACAGACACAAATAGACTGCAAAAGCACAAAGTGCATAACAAGTATCAAGCTAGATAGGCAAGAGAAAGTTAATTTTAAACACAATCTTGCTTTTAAAATCATTCTCGAGACCAAGAAAATGAATCTAAGTATAAGATCATATGAACAGGAAGAAATCCTAAAACTAGCAGAAGCATGTATAGAGATTATCGATCTTCTGGAAGAAAAAGAAATAATGAGTTTTATACAAGAAAGAGAGATGAGCATCTTAGCACTTGAGCAGATTCTAAACAATACAGGAGATAAAATGCTTGTATGGAAACAGATTAAAAAATGCAAGAGACAAAAAGCCTCTGGGAAAACACCTATCTGGTTTAGAAAAATAGAGGAAAAAGTACTCATCGATCCAAACAGTAGACAAGTCAAATCAGAGTTTAAGGCAAGGACACCCAATTATCTATCCCCAAAAGTAGAAAACTTACCAATAAGCTAAGACAAAAGAAAAAAGGAATGGGTGTTATACAATGCCAAAGATAGTATCAAAGTAGAGAAAGTTTGGAAGAAAAGAGGGAGAAAAACTGTCTTAGTAGAGCACTGAAAGCTCATTATAGACTCTCAAGTGAACCTAACTAAACTCATCAAATGTAAAGGCTATGATCAAAGCCTAGCAGCAGATACAAGTTCAGAAGGCCACTGTGTTAAAAAAGTAAAAGAAGCAAAGTTTCTACAATTTGCTCTAAATTTATAGAAAAGGTCAACTTGCAAGAACAAACAGGAGCATTGTGCATACCATTAAGCTGTTTGACAAGGGCAAATCTACATGACAGAGCATCAACAATGAGTACAGAGGTTACACAAGAATCACATCTGAACAATATTATTATACACCCATTAGAAATTGAGATAATTGGCCAAGCTTTAGAGAACACACAAGCTACAGTAGAAATTAAAAAAGCATCAGCACAACTCATAGGGAAAAAACGTATTGTTTTCTATACTGATGACTCCTTGCTCAATCCAATAGAAGAACCCAAGAAAAGAAAAATAGGGCACAGTTGGGTAGCCTTTCGAGAAGACAAAGCAAAAACCAAAAAACAACTACTGGCTAACTTTCATAGTACTATGAAAGACTAGCTGTCGTCTACAAGGGCAGAACTTGGTGCTATTTGGACAGCTCTGCTTGTAGCTCCTTGTAAGTCCTCAGTAGAAATCCGCACTAATAGTGTGGCAGCAATTCAGGCAATTCAGGCAAGCCAAAGCAAAAAGAAAGCTTGTGACATAGTAAAGAGGAAAAATCTGTGTCTATTGGAACAAATCTGGCATACAATAGAATTGAAAGGGCTTCAACTCCGCTTAAAAAAAGTGAAAGCACATAGTGGAATAAAAGAAAATAATGAAGTAGACAGGCTTGCAAAAGAAGAAGCAAGTAGTTCAATTCTGATTAATCGAAAATGGCCATGGAATGCTCAAGCAATTTCCAAACTTAAGTGGAAGAACTTTAGAGTTGATAACACAACAAGAAGTTTTATCACACAACTTATGGGATCAGTATGGATATAGAATGAAAAAATCTGAAAAGTATCAACAAGTGGGTAGATATAGACCAACATGCTGAAGCAATCATGTAAAAAGAGGTGTGGAAAGACCTGAATCATGTGAAGGGCACAAACTGTTTAAGCACAGAGCAAAATAGAGATTGGGTCTTTAGAATCAAATGTTTGAACAGTTTATTACCAACAATGTGGGTCCTCAATCTAAGAAAACCAGATTTATACCCAGATGACACATGCAAAATATG